GCCTACCTGGGACCCTGCCGCAACTATGTGGGGTCTCACGGGGATTTCCCTTCCCCCCAGTGCAAGGCTTCCCTTGCAGGCTCCGCAGAGCAGAGCGGCATCGCTGCCTGTAATGCAGTCGTGGGGTGGGGAGATTGGTTCCCTGGTTCCCGCATTTGCATCCTCTTTTCCCATCCTGGTGGTATGTTTTGAATACATAAAAAAAACCAAAACCTATACAGACAAAGATGCTCATTTTTATTTTCACAGACTCAGTATTTCACGGACTTAACATAGACATTGGATTTATGACACATTACAACCTGCCTGACACCCGATTCATCACCAGGCACCTGCCTGACCCCACCTCTGATGTTCTTCTTTTTCCCCAACCTTTCCTTCCCTCCTCCCTATTTGTTCTGCCTTTTGTCTTCCTGATTTCCTCCTTTTCCTTTTTGTTTGACAGCCTCTCTCACCTTGTACTATTATCACTGTCCTGTTTCCCTTAGGCCTTTTTCCCCCTGCTTTCCTCCCCTTCTCTTCCCTGTTTTAACTTTTGTTTTTTCTAATTTCGACCTATTTTCTTTTCCGTGATTTCCTGTCACTCTGTGTCCCTCTTCGCTCTTTTCCGGTCTCCTATGTATTTATTTTTCACTGACGGCTTCTTTCCACCCTCGCAGTCTATCACTGCTGTCTCTCCTCGGGCAAGCAGTGGCAGGACCCGGCTCACTGATAAGCCCGGCCCCACGGGGGGAAGCAGCTCCCCTCCCCGCTAGCTGAGGCCCACGGGCCAGCCCTGCCCACTTCGCCTCGCCGCCCCTGCCAGTGGCGGCACTGCCAGGCACTCCGCAGCAGCTCTGCTGCCGCTGCCTCAGGCCAGATAAAATGGCTTGACGGGCCGCATGGCAGCCTGCGGGACGCATGTTGGACACGCCTAGGATACACCATGTGCAATCTGGTGCACTAGGGAGCAACTATTTGTCTAGAGGCACAGTTTTCCTAGAGTTCCCTGGATGCAAGACTCCAGCATTCCCCACTGTGGGCCTGTGCATTCATGGCACAGCATGAATGGGGGCAGTAGCTGTCCCTGTCATGTTTATACATGATGAACAACACACGCAGGCACAGCCCTTCTGGCAGGGCTCCCTGCCAAGGCACAAGGTTATGGCAGTTTTAACGCAGCCTTCAGTTTAGTATCCAGAAATGGGGCTCCAGCAGTTCAACATCCCATTCCCTTGGATAGCGATCTGGTTATGAATGCTTTTTGTGAACACCTGCTCCTGTCCTGTTAACAACAGGGCTAACCAAGATGCTGCTCCAAGCTGGACTGTCTCCTACCACTTTGTCCCTCTACGTAAAATCACCCATATAGTAACCAAACATCTGGCTTGTATTTTATCATGACTTATTGCTTCCACATGGAGGGTAATTTCCTCTGAAATATACACTCAATATTATGCAAAGGCATCCCATGCTCGTTCTCCACTGCTGCCAGGCACTGT